TTTTTTTAATAACCTCGAAAGAAAAAAAGTTATATTTTATACTTAGTATTTTTATAATACTAAAGTAGACAGTTATTTAAAAGCTACCTTATATTTTCCATATACCCTATACTAAATAAGTAATAAGCTATATTAAACTATTAACTATTTATAAATACTTAATTATAATATTTTTCTTCTTTAATAACCTTAAAAGAAAAAAGTTATATTTTATACTTAGTATTTTTATAATACTAAAGTAGACGGTTATTTAAAAGCTACTTTATATTTTCCATATACCCTATACTAAATAAGTTATAAGCTATATTAAACTATTAGCTATTTATAAATACCCAGCTGTAAATTTCTTTTTTTTTTAATAACCTCAAAAGAAAAAAAGTTATATTTTATACTTAATATTTTATAATATTATAATTTATAATATTAATAAATTCTTTAATATTTTTAAAATAATTTATTTTTAAATATATTATAGTATAAAGTAAATAATAAATTAATTATTAATTTTTAATTATAATATTTCTTTAATAACTTTTATTATTATTATTTTAAAAAAAGTTATATATTTTATATTTTTATAATATTATTATTCTATAATTCTATTATAATTCTATTATATTAATTATTTTTATTAAATAATTTCTTTATAAAAATCTTTTAAGTTATTTTTTTTTAATACTAAATTTTTTTAATATTTTATTAATATTTTTATAATTTTTATAATATTCCTTTTTATTTTTAGTAAAACTATATTATATTAATTTTTTTATAATATATATAAAATTATTATTCTATTATTAATAATATAAATTTTTTAACTTACCCTAGAGTAATTCTTTTATATTATAAATAAAAATTTAAATATATATATAACTTATTTAAGTTTATAATTCTAAAATAAATTTAAAGTAAGTAATTATATAAAGTAATCTTAAGCTATTTTTAAAATAATTATAAATAATTATAAAGTAGGTAAATTAATATAATATATAATTTAATTAATTTTTTAATTTTTTAACTTTTATACTTAAGTTTATTTTCTTTTACTTACTTACTTTTATATAAATATATTAGTAAAATTATATAATAACTAAGAGGGCAGAGGAAATATATAAATAAAGGCGCGGATATATATATGCCTTATATAAGGCAGCGGCTCTAGGGTAAGTCCCTTTTATACTCTAAGGTAACTCTAGGGTATATTCCTTTATGCCGTACTATAGCTCTAGGGTAAGTACTTATATAAGGCAGTGGGTATAGGGTAAGTATATATTAGCTCCTATTTTTATTTTTAAATTTTTTTTTTACTTTTCTCTCCTTAGTTCCTTTTTTTATTTTAATCCTTTACTTTATTACACAGCCCCCTTATACTAAGCCTAACCTAAGTTATTTTTTAAATTAGGCTATAGGGTAAGTATAAGGTAAGTATAAAGTAGTTTTATAATAGCTATAGGGTAAGTTAATTATTGAAAATATAGTATAATTTTAAAATAAATATAATAATACTTATAAAAATAATACCCTAATATATATATATAATAGTATAATTATTTAAAATTAAGGATTAATATATTAATAAGAAAGTTTAATTATGTAAAAACGCCTAAGAGTTTATTATAGTTAGCAGCGGCATAGGGTCACCTAAACAAGCTATTTAGGGTATTTATACTTATGCAGCGCGAAATGTTTACCAATGAACAATGTTTATTCTTTTGTATTAGTGGTATCCTATGGCATGTTAGAATTCTCTTATATCATGTAGGGCCTGGCCGCTATATGATACAGTATAGGGGAAAAACCACCTAAAAACCCTATACAACAGCCTTCGTTTCCCCCCGCACACTATCTATGCCGCCAGTCGCCACGGCTTTACCAGCCGAAGAGCGGGTTCATGAATTGCACCACATCCTCAGCAACCCCCATCCTGATCTCGCTAGCCCTGAGCGTACGTCGGATATCCCGCATTCTGTCGTCGATGGCCTTTTCCGCAGTACCATTAACAATGGGGCACTCTCTTTGAATGGCGCAAAGGCGGTGGAAGAGTCGTGGTTGGCGGTCGTTTAGCAAGATCTCCCTGACGCCCAACTTCTGTTCCTTCTGGCGGAGGATCTTCTCTAGGTCTGACTCGGCCTGGCTGAGCGCCTTCTAGGCGGTATCGCAGGCCGTTAGCCATTCGTTCAGCGAGGCTGCGCATTCCTGAATCGCTTTCTGTTGTTGACTAGCGCCCTCCCCAAGGGACTGGCGGCCGCGGTAGGCCACCGCGAGCTGGGTGGTCAGCGCGGGGCATTTCCTCTGCAAAGCGTTAGTGTCAGCGGCTACGGTTCCGGCGGCCGCGGGCCTGGGTATGGCGTGCATACGAGACAGCTTCTCGGCCTAATGGGGCCTTCGCAGATGTGGCATCCACCTAAAAAACAGGGTTAGAACGCGTGGGCTAGGCGAGTGCCGTAGGGGGCTGCTGGCGTGGCACTTACCCGGAGCGCTGCCGGAGCTCTCTGCCGGGCGAATTACAGTGGTGGGGTCTTCGTCCAGGCGGCTAACGCAGCCGTGGCACACTGTCAACTGGTTTCATCGAACGTTAGCCCCGGCTTCTTCTAGCTGTTGACGTTGTGTTATACGCCTTGGTTAGTGGCTTACCTTGGTCCACGTGGTGGTCATTGTGTGCGGCAGATCCTAGCAGAGACTATACATTAGCCACGCTTTCCTTCTCTTCGTCCCCCCCCCCCAAAGGTCCTACGACCGAATGGAAGGGGTCGGCCGCCAGAATTGGGCTCGCGGCCGCATTCCCATTTTCCGCAAAATTCGTTTGTATGCGTTTTTGGTCAAATCGACTCACGGCCATACAAAAAAAAAACCGACACAGCCTTTTTCCCAAACTGTGTAGGGTAGGTTGACGGCTTCAGGGCCGCCTAGGCCCCCAAGGGGCGCCGGGGGTCAATGGCTAGGGCTGTGAAGAGCGTGATGGCGCTGGGGGAGCCTCTGGAAGGGTTCGGTATCCGCCGTAAGGAGCGCCGTTGGAAGATCGCTCCAGGGTAAGTGGTTTGACATATTGAGGCTTCTCTAGGGTAGCTAAATGGGGTATATAAAAGTTATCGTGGGGTGGATGTTTTTATATAACTGTGGGGAAGCGCTGGAGTAGACTATCCCCAGGGGTATTAAATAGGGCTATAGGGGGCGCAGGGGCGCCAAGAGGGCCGCTGGACGGGCTTGGGTTTCTCCGTAGCCGGCACCCCGGAAGGATGGCTGCAGGGTAAGCTGTTTAATAAATCGCGGCTACTCTATGGTAACTAGAGGGCATATGTAAAGGTTCTACGGGGTAGCAGTTCCTATGCAGCATGGGCGAGGCCCTATAAGAAACCGCTGCCGGGGGTCGGGGACAGCGCTGCAGGGGGCACACAGGAGCGCCAAGAGAGCCACTGGAGGGATGTGGTATCCGCTGTAAAAAGCCCCCCAGGGGACTGTTCTAGGGTAGGCGAGGGTAAAGAATAAAAGCGGCTCCAGGGTAGCCCATGGCAATTAAAAAGCTTACTATAGGGTAGCAGTTCTTATATAGCAGGGGCAAAGGCGTATAATTAACCGTCACTAGGGGCCATGAATAGCGCTGCAAAGAGCACGGGAGCCCTAAGGGAGTCCTTAGACGAATTCGGTATCCGCTGTAGAAGGCACCCCAAGTAAATCGCCCCAGGGTAGGGGGAATATAAAAGGGTAACTCTAGGGTAGCCAAGTAAAATAAATAAAAGTAGCTATAGGGTAGTGGTGTTAATACAGTAGAGGGGAAGCCCTATAATAAACATTCCCAGGGGCCACGTATAGCGCTATAAAAAGCACAGGGGCGCTAAGTAAGTCACTGGACTGATTTAGTATCCTTTGTAAAAAGCGCCCTGGGTGGATCGCTCTAGGGTAGGTGGAGGGAACATGGAAGGGGGGCTCCAGGGTAGCCCAGAGCCCTCACAAGCTGCTGTAAAGGGCAGTGCTAGCCGCCTAGGGTGCTAGCATTGGCGGATCTGGCACCCTTTCCGATTGCTGTTACAGAAGAGCGCGGGAGCGCCAAGAGAGTCGCTAGACGGATCCAGTACCCGCCGTAAGGAGCGCCCCAGGTGGATCGCTCTAGGGTAGGTGGGAAAATAGATTAGGGAAACTCTAGGGTAGTAGCTTTTGTATAATAAGGTTGAACCGCTGTACTAAGATATCGCTGGGGGTTGTAAATAGCGCTATAGAGAGCATGGGAGCGCCAAGGGAATTAATAAACAGGTTTAGTATCTGCTATAAGAAGTACCGTAGGGGGGTTATTTAAGGGTAGGTAAATTAACATATTAAAGTTACTTTAGAATAGCTAAATAAAATAAAAAGGAATTTACTATAGGGTAGTAGGTCTTATATAATATAGGGGAAGTACTAGCTTATAAAGATTAAAAATATATTAATTACTATAAAGTAATAGTTTGTTGGGGAATTATTGAGAAGTTTTTATATTTAATATTTATTATAAAAAAATACCTTAAGAGATTTATTATAAAGTAAGCAAAACGACCTTTCCCCTACTCCTTATTCTATTCTATTTAAATATAAAGAGATCTATGGGATTAAACCCCTAAGAACCCTTACGGCCTGCGGTAGAAGTTGCGCAGGATCTGTCTCTTCGGGGCGGGGCTGCTGACCGCCCTTAGGCCGAAGATTCATCGGGTTCTCCTGATGGCGCCCGTGAGATCTCTTGAGGGCATGTGCTATGCCGTTCCCCAAGGAGCCAAAGAGCCTTAACCCATGCCTCGGAAGGGCTGCCGGCATTATGGGATAAAAGCCGCCAAAGACGGTCATGTTATCATGCGCGGTAAGCTTGGACCAGTCTCCGCTGGCCAGCGGGGTGAGATCGAACGCGATGTGGCGGAGGGGGGTGGGCGAGAAGTCTTGGCCGCTTCGGAGGCCGAGCTCCATGGCTGCGCAGGCGACCATGTGCGACATAACCCACTTCAGAGAGTCGCCCACTGCTGTCACGCCTGATTTGTAGTCGGTTTCGATGCACCAGTCCCTGAAACGAAGCTCGCTGTTGCCCTTTTCTGTCTGCTGCACAGGGGGGTTGAGCGGGTGGATTTCCAGCGGGAACCTAGCCCACGCTCGGCGGCGGGATATATTGGCAGTTCGCTCCCCCGTGAGCCCCCTGAGTGTCTGCAAAACGCAGAAAAGCGAGATGTATGGGGCTGCCCATAGGTATGGCGCCGGGGTCAGGGGGAAGCTCATGGCGGCGAAGTGGTAGGGGTACCCCATGCATCTGAGCTCGAGACGCCACATCTTGATGATTTTAACGGCTCGCCGCCGCCGTTGCAACTTTATGGGATCAAAGATATAAAGGTGTGCGTATTTCTTGGTCCTTGGATCGCTGGCTCGGTCGAAGATGAACGATATCAGGTGACCGTCTACCCTCACCATGCCCGCAACAAACCTCTTCCCATACCAGTTCCGGAGCATAATGTCGTCCGACTGTTCGCCTGGGGTATAGGCCAGCTGTACATGGCCCATGTTTGCTCTGCGTAAATGTATGTTCATCGGCAATAAGGTATTCCCTATGTCGTACACCGCGGTGGGTACGTAGGTGAAGTCGCTGAGGTCCTTCATTTGGGCGCGGAGGACGCCAAGGAGGTTTTCGGGGTCGGGCCGCGCGTTTTGGACTAGAGCGGGATCGTATATATCCTGGATGTCGATTAGGAAATTGTGGTGCATCCGTATGTGCTCCCAAAAGTCGTGCGTCCTGTTACCCCCGCCTATCATGCTGGTGCTGCTGTAAAACCGCCCAGCGTCCCCAAAGGTCATCCTCCGGTTGGGCATATATAACAGAAAGGTAGGCCAGACATCGCGCATCCGGATAAAGGTAGGCTGTATTGGGTAGAGCTTGGGGATGCTGCGGTGGATGCTGACGGATTCCCTTTCCGTTGCAAACTCGCCCTCGGCCTCTAGCTCAACAATGGCCCAGGGGATACTATCCGTTTCCGTACCGTTTCCCCAGGCGCAAACCTTGTCGGAAGGAGGGGGGGCACTGCGGTTCTTCTTATTGGCATCTTTACCATCCACGAAGGGTACCCCAAAATCAATATCAAAGAAAGGAACAGTATTAGGGGGGAGGGTGGCAGGGGCGGCAGGGGCAGCAGGGGCAGCCATGGTGCCAAGCAGTAGTGAAAGTCAAAAAAAAAAAAAGGGTATTCTGCTATGTGAATGTATGCAAAAGATTAGTAGGTAAGTATCACCACTTAGATGGGGAAGTATATAAGACGTATATAAGTAGACGTCAGATTATCCCATGAAACTATTTTTATTACCTCTGGGAGGAAGCAGCTCTGCCTTTTCCACTTGCACTCTTTGAGCCGGCATGGTGGTAGTGTGATTGTTCTGCACTATAACCCTTGGATAAACAAACAGTTTGTCTTTGTGGCTCTGACGCGGTGGCAGTGCGCTGACCGCCACCCGGTTTCCATAGTGGTCCTTTGGCAGCTTTGTTCCACGGAGCTTTAAATAGAGCTACCCTTTTCCTTAGTTCTAGGGAAACCCTTTCACGGTCGAGTCCAGGGAAGTGGCTGGTCCGCAGGGTGCCGTTCTTTGTCAAAACGAAACAAAGCGGACACGCGGTCAGGTGGCTGGACGAGGGAAAGGTAACCTCGAAAGGTCGGTGCTGTTTTATGGGTTGAACAATGAACTTATCCCTTTGCTGCCCGTCACGTCGCCACGTGCGAGCGCATGCCGTGCCGGTCCCGGTAATGGGGTCGATTGATCTCCCCGCATTACCCCACGCTACTTACCCGAGACACGGCTGATCGATTGGATACGTGCAGATAGAGACCTATAATTAGCAACCGCTAGAAACCCTAAATCAACATCACCGCAGACTAAACTTCTCCTTTGGCTGTTGCTGGATTTCCGGAACAGCCCAAAGGTCAGGCCGGGGCTGTGAACGACGCCAGTGTTCAACATGACAAAGGGGGAACGGCGCCGGCGCGCCCCCTGCCCTGTTCGCGCGCTCCTTTGAAGCCCTCGCCTCTTGCTGTTCACGCGCCCCGTAGCGCTGGCCGACGCAAGCGCGGATGCGCCTACGCCGGACTGCTTCGCAGTACAGCATGGAGCCCCAAATCCTTCAGCAAGGAGACGTGGCTGCCACCCAACAGCTTGACCTCTTTGACCCCAACCTACTCGCTGACATCACCCCTCCCAACCTTTTGCTCGACGGGACCGAGGTAGGCTTACCCTCCTGCCGCAGAGGCCAGTTGACCTCGCATGGGAACAGACGACGTGGACTGCAGCCTATGGGTATCCAGAACCCCATTCCCTTTGCGAATGAGGCTCGGCCCTCGGTGGGCAGGGCCAGCCTGTTTGCCAACGCCAGAGACCACAGGGGCGTACCCAGACCAATAGCGCTCCCAGGCCAGCTGGGGGCACACCGGAGGCAGACGACAACGCATGCCCACGACCTGCATCCCTTGGGCGGCCGCACCGTAAACGGGGAGATGGTGGCGCCAGGGCCAGGGATTCAAGGTTAAAGAGGGCACGATCGGACAAAGGCCAGCGTAAAACGGGGACCCGCGTCTTTATCTTCAAGATCTATAAAGAGGTTACTAAAAATAAAAAACGCAAAGCCAGGCAAGTGCACGAGAGTTACTTGGAATAAAACACAAAGGCGTATAAAACACAAAAGCGTATAAAACACAAAGGCATAACAGCATATATGCAAATATAAATATCAACAGTAGTCTCCCATCTATGGGTTCTAGAATAAAGCTTTACTTTATATGACTGCATATACTAAGCCGTTTAAGACTATTACTAGCCACCGCAGCCAAAACAACGCACCTCTTCAGATATTCTTACACCTACTACGTCAACTCCAATGGCTCCTCAAACTCGTTCTCGGGCGGTCCGGCCACCTAAGAAAGGTGCAGCCACGGCGAAGGGCAATAAGTATTTTGAATACTTCCTCAAGGGCAAGCAGCAGGGAGCGTGGGTCAGCGCAAACGAGTTCCCAACGCAAATGCCCCCCAACCCCCCCGTCCCACCGGCCCAGAGCCTAGCAGAGGCCTATCACTATCGCGTCCCTACCATGAACGTCCGCCAGGAATGGCCCACCCGCCACGGCCTCACGACTGGTGCCATTCCCCCTCGAGACGCAGCGAGATTAGCAGCGGAGTTCCCGGGCCTCCAAAAAACCGGCCGGTTTGTTACGGAGGCTCAAGTAGGAGGTCTGTCGTGGAATGACCACTTGTTTGAGGTGCGAAAGCTGCTTTTGGACTTTCATAACAACCAGTGGGCCAACAGTTTCGGCCTCGCCGCCATGCTACATATAATCGGCCAAGGTGTCCCCTCGACGGCCGTGATGGATGCATTTATCGACATCGACGACACTTCAGTCTGGACGAACAGCAGCGTACCTGGGAGAGCGACGCCTGACCTACGGATCCTGCTCGGCCGAGGAATGGTCAACGCTGACCTCCCAGGCCAGGGCTATACGAATAAATTCCGCGACAGTCTCTACGGCCGCCGCTTCATTGTCACGTTGTTTCACTTTCATAACCCGCAGCACTGGGTCGCTGCTGTTTTTGACAGGGTGGCTGCCACGCTTCTCATCTTCGATACATTACGCGACAACCAGCGCGAGGCAAGATCACGGGCAGCGGCATTAGCCTGGCGGGAGTTTGGTGTTAATCTTGGTTTTCCCTGTGATATACACGCCGTCGCCCCTCCCCTCCCAGCCCAACCTAGCGGCTGGGAGTGCGGCTACCTCGGCTTGCTTAACATCTCCCTGTGTATCCGCTCGCTCCTGGGGGTTACGATCCATGAATGCCTACAGACGAATCTGCAACAGTTCGAAATAATGGTGGACGAATTCGAACAACCCAACAGGGTGCAAGGGTTCGGGGGTGCCTATATATCCCTCCCCGAAACCCCACTCCCCATCCCAGACTGGCATTGCGGCGGGGGGAATAAGGACGGTTGGATGCGAGCCAGCACCTTCCTATTCTCCATATTTGGGAACGAGCTTGGTTTTCAGACGAAGGACGACCTTGATATTCGTCTTGGAACGTATGACGCCAAGGATAAAAACCCCATCTTTTTCGAGTTTTACCCTGGGTTTTTGGAAGAGGGCTGTGCCCTGCAGATTGGTAAGGTTGGCAGGAGACGTTGGGATGTCACCCAGAAACGCCGGCTCCCAGACCTCTACAAGTCAAGCATTACCCTAAGGGCCGGCCTGGATAACAGGACAAAGCCAAGGGCTAGGCCTGGCTGGAAGCCCCCTGCGGAGACAACAATGTACCCGCAGCTAGTGCAAAAGTACAGGTTAACTGCGATCGACCAATTATTCCGTCGGAGGGTAAGATAAAGGTTATTATATAGTAAGGCTATTTTATAAATAATATACTATATAATAAAATTGATTCTATATAATTCTAATCTAAACCACTTTCTAAAGTCTAATTTAGATTTATATCTAAAGAAGTTTCCCAAGGTACTGCTAATACCTTTAGTAATAATAATATAGAGATTTTATCTTAATCCTTTTCTTTAGGGGTAGTAGCTAACCTACGTAAGTGTTAAAGGTATGTTAGAATTATTAAAAAATTAACCCTAAGTTAATTAATATATATTTTTAGAAAAACACCTTTATCTTAGGACTTTTTATTACAGCAGCAGAAAATTAAACTTTTAGAAAGATAAACCAAGGCTAAAAAAGAGAAATACATAAGATTTAATAAAGAAAAATAACTCTTAAAGCCAAAGCTAGAAAAAAGCTACTTAAGATTAAAAAGAGAATTAGTATTTGAGAAAAAGCAATTAAAGTTTCTTAAACAGAAAAAAGAGATGGAAAAGCAAGGTTTAATCTAAATAAGTAGTAAATAAATAAAAACAAATTCTAACTAACCCTAAACTAATTACCACCATAGGGATTTTTAAAAACTTTCCAAACCAAACAAGTATTATCAGCATAAAGGGGGGGGCAACCTATTTATATATTAGTTTAGAAATATAAGCAAAGGGAATTAGAAGTAATTCTCACGTCGGGCGGGTTCCAAAATACACTCCGGGCACCGGAGCTTGCCTTGCGTAAGGCCGCAAGAACGCCGCATATCGGCAATCCGCATTAAACCCTCCTCCTCATCGCGCCACTTCGGCTACTCAAGTATTAGTAAGATATATCAAAACTGGAAGTGTCATTACATACAGCACGGAGTCCATTCTCATCTACCTCGGAATCGGACTAGTCTTGTTAGTGAATCAACACAAAAACAACTCCAAATCAGTTTACCTCGTCCGAAAGTCCCATCCAAACATCCTCATCATCATCATTATTATTATTATCACTACTATCAGCAGGGGGAAGGGCCAGGAGCTAAGTCTAAGTCAGCTGTGTTCTAGTATAGAATTATTTAACACTTACATCGTTATCAGAATCAGCGGGAGGGGCCAGCTATATCAGAATTAGTTGCGTTCCATTTCCCTACCATTTCAATACATACCGGACCATGTCCATTGTCAGAGCCGTCGCCGTTGTCAGAGCCGTCGCCGTTGTCAGAGCCGTCGTCGTTATCAGAGTTGTTGTCGTTATTAGAGTCGTTGTCGTTATTAAAGTCATCGTCGTCGTCGTCGTCGTCGTCGTCGTCATCGTCGTCGTCAGAGTCGTCGTCGTCGTCGTCGTCGTCAGAGTCAGAGTCAGAGTCGTCGTCGTCGTCAGAGTCGTCGTCGTCGTCAGAGTCGGAGTCGGAGTCAGAGCTAGGGGGGGCCGGAGGCGCGGGGGGAGCAGGAGGAGCAGGAGGAGCAGGAGGGGCAGGAGGGGCAGGAGGAGCAGGAGGAGCAGGAGGAGCAGGAGGCGCGGGGGGGGCAGGAGGAGCCGGAGGCGCGGGGGGGGCAGGAGGCTATTGTAGAGTTAGTTGGGTTTCATTTTGCAACTGGTTCGGCACTCACCAGGGCATTATCATCATCGTCATCACCATCGTTATTATCGTCGTCCTGAGAAATAATTTAGTAATGGATCCTAATTAGTTCCCAATTGCAACATACATCGGACAGGATGTCAACGCTGGGATCAGCAGCCTTGCGTGGGATCCACGTCGGACGGAGGCCGGCCATGATTTGAGTATACCATCCTGGAACTGTTTCAGTACCAGTACCAAATTGTCTAAGAGATCTTTGAGATTCGATTCTTACGGTTCAGGTCGTGCTGCAAATCGCCAGCGTTGGCGCCCGTGGCCCGTTTCTCGCACTCGATTTTGTGCACTTTCTTATAGTGCTGTCGGAGAGATGACTCAGCACCAAGCTTGTCGTTCTATTGGAATCATATCAGTACTAGTACGAAGACATATCAGTGATGTTTTACAACCAATTCTTACCTTCCAACAGCGGGCACCGGTAAAATCGGTGTAGCGGCAGTAACGCTCGCCGGGCATGATGATGGGTTCGCCATCCTGCAGAATCGATTCAGTGACAGTCCTTTTTTTTTTTTTTTAATTGATTCTTACTTCGTTGTAGAGCAGGGTCGGCATCAAATTGTCCTGCCGGACGTTGGCGGGATCGTTAAGGTAGGCCTGGTAGGCGGGGAGGTGCTTGTACGTGAGGACCATATTGGAAATGCTTCGCAGGTGGTTAGGTGATGCTTCAGAAAAAGACGAGAAATGGTTTAAATGCAGCTTGGAGATGATTCTAATGGAGTTGAAGATGTTAGGTTAGAAAGGAAGATTGGATTAGTCGCGAAACAGTAGAGAAGCGATTCTATAATATATATATTAGATAAACCTCACCTTTGTTTCATTTTCCTTTCACATTTACACAACATCCACTTTTCTTTCACACTTCAAGTCACAACGAGGTCAATTCCTTTGTGTCTACAGCAGTTCCGCATCCGGAAATATTTCAGAACACATGACGGAAATGGATGAGAATTGCCCCAAAGACAATTCCTTTATGTTTGCCCCTAATTTCCCTTGTTGTTTTCTTCTGCTCTAGGGTAGTAAAAGAGGAAAAAAAAAAAGAAATACGCGATGCGACAGCTCATTATAACACTGGGCTACCTATATCCCAGCCTTTAAACACTAAGGTTAAATAACAAAATGTAACTTACCCTGGAGGACATAGTGCACAAATATATTCTTTAAAGGGAAAATATAATAAAAAAAAGTAGGAAGGCATACTTAATTAAAACCCCTACCCTAGACCTACCTGAAGTATTAGGTTATCACACTGTAGTAATATAGCCGCCATGGCGCAGCGGCCTGGGCGCTGTATTTTAGCGGTCTAGGCGCCGTGGCCCAGCGGTCCGGGCGCTGCGGTTTAGCAGCCCGGGTGCAGTAGGCAATATTTGTTGAATATTAATGCCTTCTAGGAGAACATAACTACGGGTGTTATAAAATATAGTCAACGGAATTACGTGAATATGTTTCTATTGGTAGGATGTTATTACTTATTAGAATTCTCTTACGCTATACAAGGCCCTACTCTTATATAGCGCAGCCAAAGGGGAAAACCAATAAAAACCCTCGGCAATAAGCTTACCCAGTGGGCTTTTAACCAACTAACGGACCTTGCCTAACCTGAAATATATCCCTGAAACGCCTCAAAGGTTCACTACCGCGTTTTAATCCAAGGCGGATTGTCCAATTGCTTCTTCCTGCTCGACGGCTTCGGCTTCGGCTTTCTAGGCCTCCTCCTTGGCCAGGAGCCACTGGCCCAGCCGCTGGGCGATGCATGCGACCCTTGCAGTTGCTCTCTTGAGTTTGGTGACCTTGTTCAAACTGCGGTCTTCCTGGGCAGCCCACAGGCTGTCCGTTCGGCGGTGATACGCAGTTACAAGCCGCTGGCTGAGGACGGGATGATCTTCCTACGTGGCACGGAGTCAGCACTGCAGAACCCAAAGCCCGCTGTAAATATAGGTATGACTTACGGCTACCGAGAACTTTACATCCTCCGCTGTAAGTAGATGCAGGCAAATGCCACAGTGATCTAAATTAGTTGACTAGTTAGCGCGATGTGGCGTGTTAATAGCTACCTCAGGGGTCGCTGCTTACCCCCGTGTTCTTCAAAGCCTAGGCTTATTCGCGGCTGAGCCCGCGGATTGGCTCCGAGTAGCCGTATGCACTTTAGGCATGGTGACAGATCAGCCTATAGGGCACTTTTAGTTAGCCTGGCCAGGGAGCAAGTCCGCTATTTAGACTATGCTAGCGGCTTACCATGGTTGTATTAGGTGTCGATTGGTATGATTCTAATAGAGGCTATACGTTAGCCACGCTTTCCTTCTCTTCGTCCCCCCCCCCCCCAAAGGTCCTACGACCGAATGGAAGGGGTCGGCCGCCAGAATTGGGCTCGCGGCCGCATTCCCATTTTCCGCAAAATTCGTTTGTATGCGTTTTTGGTCAAATCGACTCACGGCCATACAAAAAAAAAACCAACACAGCCGCTTTTTCTCGCTGGCTCTAGGGTAGGCGGAAGCTCCAGGGTAGCTCTAGGGTAGCTTGGTCCTAAATAATATGCATATGGCGTATTAGTGGACTGCTATAGCGCATTAGCGGTTGTGGGCATGGCGGATTAGTGGACTGATGTAGTGTATTAGCGGTTGTGGGCATGGCGGATCGGTGGCCTGCTGTTATAGCTCCAGGGTAGCTCCAGGGTAGCTCCACGGCAGGCAGGAGCTCTAGGGTAGCTCCAGGGTAGCTCCAGGGTAGCTCCACGGCAGGCAGGAGCTCCAGGGTAGCTCTAGGGTAGCTCCACGATAGGCAGGAGCTCCAGGGTAGCTCTAGGGTAGCTTGGTCCTAAATAATATGCATATGGCGTATTAGTGGACTGCTATAGCGCATTAGCGGTCGTGGGCATGGCGGATCAGTGGACTGATGTAGTGTATTAGCGGTTGTGGGTATGGCGGATCGGTGGCCTGCTGTTATAGCTCCAGGGTAGCTCCAGGGTAGCTCCACGGCAGGCAGGAGCTATAGGGTAGCTCCAGGGTAGCCCCACGACAGGCAGGAGCTCTAGGGTAGCTCCAGGGTAGCTCCACGACAGGCAGGAGCTCCAGGGTAGCTCCAGGGTAGCTCCAGGGTAGCTCTAGGGTAGCTCCACGGCAGGCAGGAGCTCTAGGGTAGCTCTAGGGTAGCTATAGGGTAGTGATAAATTTTTTTTTTCGCTAAGTTCTGAAAAAAAGTCTGTGTCGGTTTTTTTTTTGTATGGCCGTGAGTCGATTTGACCAAAAACGCATACAAACGAATTTTGCGGAAAATAGGAATTCGGCCGCGAGCCCAATTCTGGCGGTCCAGCCTGTCCAAAAGCCCGGTGGACCCATGAGGGGAAGTGGGAGCCAATCGGAAAGCTATCCGAGTTGACTATGCAGGGGACCCCTAACAAGGATAGGCGCTAGTTGTTCAAAGAAGGTTGGACTAGCCGTAGCTATATCGCCATAATCGAAGCTATTTCCGGGCTTGGCTAATAATGTGGGTTCGAGGGACAAAAATCAGTGGGAATCGATGGTTGGCCCCAGGTGGAACTCGGTGCGCTTCTGGCGCACTGGCTTAGGTACGGGTAGCCCGCGGGTCCGGCTGTTCCTGGGGCCCAAGTCTTGTCAACAACAGCGGCTGGACCGCCGTAAACTGGAGTGCTCACCTGGCCTCCTCTGGCGCCTGACTGGGGGAAGTGTCCTCGGCATGACCGAAAAAGGCCGACCCTTGTACCATATCTTGTTCTAAGATACTCGCAGACGGCACCCTTTTGAACAGGCTCGTAGGCTCCGCGCCTCGCTCGCGATCGGCGTGTGCTGCGTCATGTATCGACCCCTCGGAAAGCGGCTCCCCAGGGTGCTCGCCGTATGGGGGATGCCTGGGTCGAGGAGTGAGGTCCTATAACAACCCGGATGGGCTTCGGGGACGTGTCCAAGCCTCTTGATATCCAACATAGATAGAGGTAGCGATGCCGAATCTTGGCAACGGGAGAATCCGCTAGTAACATGGACGCCGCAATGGTTGAAGTCTTCTAGCAAGGCCTCCCTCTTTAGTGGGCTACCGAGGGCTCTTCCTATTTGAAACAGGAACCCTTGGCTGATTAGCTACGGGCTGGCCCCGGCCGGTCGGCAGTACAGGCCATGGACGTTCCGCTAAAGGTGACTAGCTACGTAACCGCCCCGGCGGGAGGTCAGTACGGTCTTTAGAATCAAATGCCACTCTTATTGCGCGTAGACGGCTCTTTATACCGGTTGGTGTCTTGGGGGACTGCTGGCCGTACAGCCTTAGAGCCTTAGCTCAGGTGACCGCATGAGCTTCCTTGGCTGCTATGCACCCTCTGGTGGAGCGGCATGTAGTCAGTACGTCCATCAGAACCCCACTCCCACTACCTGTATGCTTTATTTATTTTCAAACTTATTTGGGCAACCCTGCCTGCTGTCTAGATGAGGGTTACGTTGATCCAAATCCTAGGTATGTCTTATATCAGGAGGACCAGCGGGCGGAAAGGTCGAACATAGCAATGGCCTCTTCCAAGTAAGTAGCCCCAGCTTGATGGGTGCAAAAGCGTAACGTCTGGCCACTGTTATAGGCGGAGATACATAACCCTTTTCTAATAGCTCACGGGGAAGCGTAGCGTAATTAAGCTACACCCATATATAAAAATGGCACAAAGTGTATTTTTATCTTTCGCTTCATTAATAGCGATATGGTAAAGATGTTCGGCCAACATTCCCTCAAGTTTTAGTGGTCTTAGTAGTTTTTGTAGTCCTAGCTATAGGTAGGTATTGTAATAAATAGGCTAAGCCAATCCCGCGGTTAATACTTACTTAGGCTTATACTTGGGGTTAGGCTTATATTATACGTTTTCTTTTTTAATCATCATATAGGTTAATGTAATCTCTTATCTATAATAGGGAATAGTATCACAACCCAGCACTTACGGTCATAATCAGGGAGCCTACACAACAGGCACAGCCGGATTAACATTAATTCTTCCACCAACCAGAAGAGGACTAAGAAACATTTCCTCGATCAACCACAGGATCAATTGAATACATATTGATCCACGAACGGATCAATACAACATTCTTCCATCTACTCTAGCGCAGCTGGATATATAAGTTTTATTCTCCACGCTCGTTTAGGACGTAGCCCTAGCACAAGGTTTATCCCTTGGGAATCCCTTTTATATTAACTATAAAGGCGCTTATTTTTTTACAGATGGGCGATGTGCCTAGGGCCACTGGTAAGAGAGTAGCAGAGAGAATGGCAGATATCCTCACCTTTTGTCGCAATTGGGCCACGTCCCTTTGCCTTCAGCCGACATTTGGTCTTGGTGCGGGCACCCTATATTCCGACGTCTTTGTGCCGAATGGCCTTATGAGAGTTGGCGTACAGTATTACACCAACCCCCCTGCTAACCAGATATTGAATCTTAACCCAACCTTGCTGAAGAAGCCCCCTATTTAGAATACACTCAACACAGTTGTGTTTGTTACTGGTGGAATTTGTAACAGGATTTCCAAGCCTTAGGGTTACGTATGGCCTGGTGTTTTTGTGTTGGCTTATTATCCGAGCGGGTTAAGCATACATGTAGGTAGATTAATTAGCTTTAGTATATTAGGCTGGACCTGGGACCTAGGCTTAACTTGCCAGTCGAGAATATACTATGTATATTCTCCAATTCACTAGCTAATTTAGGAAATAGCACTACCTTATATTTTGTTGTATTATTACTCTAAAAATACCTCCCTCTACTATAGAATAAAGAAAAAAGGTATTCATATTTCAGGGCAACGTTTTGTTCAAAGTGCCTTGCTTCACTATTGAACAAAGAAAGTGTTGTTCATCCTTTGAGACAACCTTGAACACTGCATGTGGTATTCTGTCACCGTTTTTTAAACACCTTGTGTTCATCCTTTGAGACAACCTTGAACACTGCATGTAGTATTCTGTGACCGTTTTTTTAAACACCTTGTGAACAAATACTTCAGCTAGCCTAGAATCGTGTATAAATATGCGGCATACTCCTCTGGTATGCAGGGTTTATGTCATCATTCCCATAGCCAAGTATCAGCCGATAACCACAACCGCCTACGATGAGCTCCCAACCCCCCAACCCTCTCGGGTCGCAAGACCAGTCTTCCGGCGGCGACTCCCCCGAAACCCCAAGCTCTATGGACGTCAGCGACGGCCACGTCTCTCCCGAGCCCCGTAACCTCGAGGCACTCTACAACCAACTTGCCACTATCATCACTGATAGCAGGCCCAGTGAATGCACCGACCCGGTGGAACAGCGCGCGATCCTTACGGACCTTGTCGACTTCCGAAGCAAAACCCATGCTCAGCTTCAGCAAGTACGTGGCAGGGCAAGTCTCCTTGTCCTCAAATGGAAAGAAGCCCACTGGAACGCACTCCAATTCCAAGACCAGGTGCATCGCAACACCTTGCATCATCCCACCTTTCAGCGCTATATGAGGGATGTCCTCTGGTCTTTGGGGATTAACCTAGAACAACGAAGTATGATCGACACGCTTGGTATAGTGCTCACTAACCCGCATAATGCCTCCGTGGATAAGATCAACTCGACTAGGTTGCTTATCATAAGAGAGATGGGCGATGTGCCTAGGGCCACTGCTGAGAGAGTAGCAGAGAGAGTAGCGGATATTCTCACCTTTTGTCGCAATTGGGCCATGTCCCTTCGCCTTCAGCCGACATTTGGTCTTGATGCGGGCACCCTATATTCCGACGTCTTTGTACTGAACGGCCTTATGAGAGTTGACGGAAGATACCACACTAACCCCCCGATCGACCAGGTATCGAATTTTAACCCAACCTGGTTGAACAAGCCCCCTATATGGGGTACAATCAACACGGTTATCTCCATTACTGATGAAATCTGTAATAGGTTTTCTGAGTCTTAGGCCTGTGCATGGCCTGGTGTTTTTATGTTGGCTTATTATCTGAGCGGGTTAGGCGTAGGTAGACTAGCTTTAGTGTATCGGGCTGGACCTGGGACCTAGACTAAGCTTGTGAATTTATCCCTATAATAACAAAATCTACCTCTACACCCTACATCTCCAGACCACTCTTTCTACAATCACGATTTGCTAACATAGCCGCCACCCTCTCTATAATATACATGGCTCGCTGCAGATCTCGTGGCCCCCGGTAGATAGCGGCCGCCTCCCCCTCGAGTTTCCCCCCTCGCTTGCCCGCAGCAGTGGGACGGGTCTCGCGTATCTCCCGTAAGCCGGCGGTAGAGGGTGTGCTGGCCGTTCCCTTTGTAACCTCCACGAGTGCTCGCCATTGTCGACACTACAGCTGCCCTCACGCCCGACCTTCGTGCTGCGCCCGAGATTTCGCCAAGTCCGCTTTTATTACTACCATAGCCGCTATGGTGCCCTTCTTACGGCTGCTACAGCTGCTATAATACCCGAGCTCCGTATGATAACCCTAAGCCCCCCCCCGCCTGCCCCCAATAACTGCTCCAGCTATGATATGCATAAGCTTATGTTTCAGTAGTCGGCCGCTCAGTTATGAATTTCCCCCTTTAGCCCTGGAGGAAAATTGTTCCCATATCCATAATACATCTCATAGTAATGCGCGCCTGTACTAGATTCTTATGAAGTTGCTCGCAGGCGGCGTCCCACACCTCCTCTGAAACGTGTTGCCTGTATCTCTCATAGTTAACGCGGGCGAGGCCGCTCAGCCTTACCAGTTGGACTAGGCTGTCTAATGCCTTGGCGTAGGTGGCCTGGCAAAGGCGGCTGTTAGTGACCTCCTGTAGCATAGTTGAGCTGGCTCCGTCGTAAGTAAGGTTACCCACTGGGAATATTTCCTCCGGGGGAGAAGGTGCCTCACATAGCCAGCAAAGAACAGCCCCCTCTATTATCTACGTAAGTATAAACAGTCAAAAGGCAAAGGGAGGTTGGTAAAAGATAGTACTACTAACCAGCTGGGCGAGTGTTTGTTATGGGTAAGCTTGTGTCACGGCTGTGCCACCCCTCAACGACTTGCTCGATGCAAGAAATGCATACCCAGGGAGTCGGCATACCGCTATCCTGGCCTGATGCCATTGCGCGTGAGTGCTGACACTGGGTGGGTATATTGATAATAGCGTGCTGAATCGCGAGAGTAAGGGAGGCGATGAGTTAAGGAAGCAGGCTGTTTTAACAGGTGGAATGCGGGGAGGTAAATGTATCAATATTGAAGGCTTAAGCTTAGAGAGCTTCGGCGCTTTCTTATCCTGCGGTCACTAGCTTGATGAGTAGCTAAGAAAGAACACTTGAAGAGATTTCAGGCCTTATTTAGGACGCACGGCCATAGTGGCTCGAGCGTAGATCTTTTGCCCCTATATATCCACTTACTTTTCTCTTACCTCTCTTAGGGTTACTATGCTTTATTTAGATTTATAAGCTAAAGCTAGCTATAAACTTAGTATTTTCTTATAGTAATATTACCCTCTTAGTTAATATAAATATAAGAAGTTAATATATATTTATAAATTAGAATTATTAATTTACTTTTTAATATTAATAAAAATAATAAATAAAATTAAATAATATTTATATTAAATTTTAAATAAAATCTTTAACTTATTTTTAAATTATTTTTTAAATAAAAATTAATTAAGTATATTTAATTAAATATATATATATATTTTTTATTATATAAAAGTTAACTTTTATAAATTTATATTTAAATAAATTAAAAAAGTAAGCTTTAAGTATTATTTATTATAAAATATAATAAAGGGCTATAAGTAATACTTAATTAAAAATTATTATAAATAGTGTTATAAGTTTACTATAGGGTTTTAAAAAGGAGTAAAATAATTACTATAACCTTAATATTATAATTATTATATATTTTTATTTTACTTTATAATAGCATTAGGGTAACCCTAGGGTAGTTATATTAACTCTATAGTAGCCCTAGATTAATTATATTAACTCTAGGGTAGCTATATTAGCTCTAGGGTAGCTCCACAGCGGGCAGGAGCTCTAGGGTAGCTCTAGGGTAGCTCCAGGGTAGCTCCACGGCGGGCAGGAGCTCTAGGGTAGCTCTAGGGTAGCTCCAGGGTAGCTCCACGGCGGGCAGGAGCTCTAGGGTAGCGTATTTCTTAATAATATACCTATGGCGTATTAGTGGACCGCTGTAGCGCATTAGCGGTCGTGTGCATTGCGGACTAGTGGTCTGCTGTAATAGCTCCAGGGTAGCTCCACGGCGGACAGGAGCTCTAGGGTAGCTTATTTCTTATAATATACCTATGACGGATTAGTGGACTGCTATAGCGCATTAGCGGCCCTGGGCATGGCGGATTAGTGGACTGCTGTAGCGCATTAGCGGTCCTGGGCATCGCGGTTTAGTGGACTGCCATTGCGCACTAGCGGTTATGGGTATGGCGGATCGGTAGCCTGCTGTAATAGCTCCAGGGTAGCTCCACGGCAAGCAGGAGCTCTAGGGTAGCCCAGGGTAGCTCCAGGGTAGCTCTAGGGTAGTGATAAAATTTTTATCTCGCTAAGTTCTGAAAAAAAGGCTGTGTTGGTTTTTTTTTTGTATGGCCGTGAGTTGATTTGACCAAAAACGCATACAAACGAATTTTGCGGAAAATAGGAATTCGGCCGCGAGCCCAATTCTGGCGGTCCAGCCTGTCCAAAAGCCCGGTGGAC